CAATGACTCAGTATTAAGTGATGTTCTGGTAGAGAGCCACCGACAGTCTTCTCTGAGTAGATGCAGAATACCACGCACACTTATTTAATCCAGTGTTTAGATAACGTCCTTGGGAACGGGTTTTCAACAGACTGTTTGGCATTCATTTAGCATAGTTAGAGGGTTTATAAATATGGAAGAAATTGTATTTATTGCTTAACATTCATTTGCGAAGCAATAGACCAGAAAGTTTTGTTTTAGTACTGCGCTCGCTCATTAAAGACCTTTAGTCGAGGATATAAGATGTTAGAATTTAGTCTGTAAATGGGTGTTTCTCCAACTATGGGCACTTTTGGACTTTTAGAAAATAAACTCTTTTAAAACACACATTTTTTACACTCACTAGTTTATTTGTCTGCAGACAGTGTCCAACAGTGGATATACATGCGTTTGTCTGAAATTCATGAACATTTCTACCACAGCATAATTTTCCACATCTCAAATGGCGTTTTGTGTTTAATAACATTTTGCGGTGGGAACGACATGGAACGACATGGAAACAACATTTACATTTTATTTTAAATTAAATGTCTGACTTCTTTGTCTTGTTAGGCTAATTTCATAGCTAGCATTTTATGTATCCAAAATAAACGCCATTAAATAATATTTACACACATTATTTGAAATTGATTGGTTGGAAATGCTATATTGATTTGTTGTCTACACACACATACGGAAACTTTTGAAAAGCTTTAGTTGCCAAATTTTTGGTTATGGAGGAATTAATGTCATGTAATCAGGGGTGCACATAAGTGGTGCGAATGCGCCACCAAAATAAAAAATGTGAGGGGTAAATAAGTTCAGACCGCTTAGGCCAATTTCACAACAAACGGAAGTTACGTCACCGCTGGGTAAAGTTAGTTCCGCTACGGGTCTGCCGCTATTATATTAGTACGCTCTGTTCTCAAATATCACTTCTTACCTTTTCTGATTTGTTTGTTTTCCAAGTTGCTGTTATATCATCTACAAAGAAATTAATTTTCTGATTGTTGTGAAATTTGCCTATTGCGCACCGACATGGTTGATGACTGTTAATGCACAATTGCCGTTTTAGATCAACTAACTGTAATACTGTATAAGATTTCTATTTGAACTGAAAACGTAAATTTAAGCTACACGCTGTCGGTTTTGGTGCAAAACATAAAACTGTGACATTTCATTCACTGATGTGCTTCATTCGGCAGCGCTAAAACCGGCAGTGCATATACTTACTTGTCGGCAACCCGCCAAAATAAAATCTTTCTGGTTTTAGGTTTGAAAATGATAAAAGGTCATATAAAAAATAAAGAAAGAAAAGAGTCAAAATGGGAAACAATTTAAAATGTAAATATTAGCATTGTATTTTTAAGTGTACTATAAAATAATTTTATTTTTATTTAATACAAATTTTTTATTTTAAAATATAGTAGTATTATTACACTATTTATCTCTAGGTGCTCTCATGAGAACCAGACCAAAAAACATATGTGTAGCTCTGAATATAATATAAGTTTCAGCAGTAAACTGCCTCTCGATATTTCAGCTGAACAAAGTTTGCATTTTACTATTCATTTTTAGTGCATCCACACTATTGACATGTTTACCTGTTGTGGTTTTTGTGTGCATGAAACAGTTCTTGAAAGAGTCCAAACGTCACTCGGGCAATGATTTCAGGCCTTCAAAACAATTGTGAACAAAATGTTGCTGTTTTGGATGAATGTTTTCAGTTTCCAAAATTTTGGTGCATCACTAATGAAAATCATAAATAGCGTTTAAAAAGTAGCAGAGATAAATACCGAAGGCAGAAAATGAAACCTGTTTGTTTAAATTAAAATCAACCCCATATACAGTATATATAAAAATGGCTAAAGTTGATGAAACACCTCTATATTATTTTTGTATCATCCAAATGTATGAAGTCACCAATATGTGTTGTGAAAGACAGGTAGATTGATGAGTGGGGTGTGTGTGATGGAGAGAGAGAGAAAATACTCCTCGGCTAAGATCTATGACCTAGTGAATCAGTGTTAGCAAAGGCTGAGCTGTTCTCGGTCTGTTTACAGAAGGAGGAGTGTGGGAGATAAGAGAGACACAGATGAACGGCTATACAGCAGCTTCAGCTCTGAATCACAGAAGGGGGTGGACAAGAAATAACAACCTCATTCAGATTGATAAGAAAAAGTAGAGCTTGAGTGCCCAGAGAGCGGGAATGTTGACGTCTCGCTCCTTGTGTTGCTATAGCACTATTCAAGAGCTGCTTTCAGACCTATTTACAAATGACTAACATTTGAGCCAACAAATTAAGCCGGTGATTCAGTCTATGTATCCATTTTCACCTCAGTAGTTGTTGTTTATTTGCCCTTTCTTCTTGTGTGGGGGATCTGTAACGTGAGATGCGTTTTTGCCAATCACTGATCAAACTCTAAAAGACGTGACCTGAGGTGAAAAGCCAGTCTGTATCATTTGCCTTCTGTCTTTCTCTTGCCCTCAGTGTGTGCAGATTTGGGAAGGGTTCCATATCTCCACATGCTGTCGGACGGCTGCCAGAAAGGGCAATTGTTTTGCTACCTTTTCAGCAGCAGACATAAGTGATTAGCAGGTGAAGAATCGGCCATGTGCTTGGGGTCACGCTGCACTGGGTTGGAAATTTCCAAAGCAAACAAATGCACTAATAGCGGCTATCTTGAGGGAGTGGGTTGTATTGTGTCTGCAATTTTCGGTAAAGCAAATATACTCTTCACCTTATTCAAATAGAGCTGTCCTGCAATCGTCTGTATGGTATGTATTATTAAGGTCATTTGAGAGAAATGTTTGAAAAAAATTATTTGCTCATTGATTTGATTTGTATTAATGCCAAAGGGTTTGTTATGATTTGTTTAATAAAAATAAAATAAAAAATATGATAGCCAATACATATTGGGTATCATGCACTAACAAGAAAATATTTTTGCATCAACATTTATTAAATAAATAATTAATATTAGGTGAGTGGTATAAATGCACTATTATACTGTACTATTATATATAATTTATGTATAATTTAAAATTTTTAAGTTTAAGTGCCATTGAGTACGGCAAGTTTGGGATCAGTAGGATTTTTAAAAATAAATCTCTTATGCTTACCAATGTTGCATTAATTGATATGTATGATATTATATATATATCACGGTATTTTCTAAACTATACCGGTTTCACGGTATATGGCAGGGTTTTTTTTCATGCATGACCATGTGTTAACCACATTTTCTGCTGATTGAGAGAGGACAAACTGCAGTAGATTGACTTTGACCTATTTTACTATCATGATGAGGGAATATTGTAGAAAAATTCCACACTAAATAGTGACTAAACATGACCCATTAATACATAAAACCAGGAGTCACTCTCATTTATAATCGCGACATCGTCTGGTAAAATCTACATGCATCTACACTAAAGAGCGGCTAGATGGTGTTTTTTTGGCTACAGTATATTACTTTTTTGTCTCATGCAGCGCACTGCCCGTGTCTGAGTTACAAACTAATAAAACAACAAACAAAAAAGTGCATAATATTAAAGGGCACCTATTATGCCCCTTTTTACAAGATGTAATATTGATCTTGGGTGTCCCCAGAATGTGTCTGTGAAGTTTCAGCCCAAAATACCCAACAGATCATTTATTATAACTGCTGGAAAATGTCATTTTTGGGGTGTGTCTCAAAAAGAGCTGTTTTGGAATTTATGGCTTTAAATGCAAATGAGCTGCATATTCCCGCCCCGTCTCCAGAAGAGCTATACATCTCTCGGGTATACGTGTATACGTCTCTCTGCATTGCATATCTACAGCAATAAACAGCCAGTAGAAGCAACATAACAGAGCGAGATAATCTATGTTTAGCCGTACATATGGGAAGCCAAATGCACTGAAAGTGGGACGAAACAGCGCGATGTTACAGAGCTCGCGCCGCACTGACATGTTACCTGTGCAGAACAATTGACCGAGCCGCACGACCTCACAACCGAACGAATCTCGCGCTACGAACGGCGTGAACTAATCTCACAAGCATGGCGCTGATCAGTTAAAAATACTTAATGTACACACAAATACAGTTAAAAAGCTAAACAATATAATGACATGACATTCACAAAGGAGTCTGGAGTGATAAACATATTTAGGAAGATTTTGAGGCGCATTACCTTGAAAAAGGAAAGTAATCCACAGCGTCCTCAGCAGCTCATATGTTTGGAGAAAATGAAGACTCTTATGTTCAGTCTTACATCCAAACACAGAGCATCGGGATTGCTTGTGAGACATTGTTGACGTTACAGCTGCTCAAGCGCGGAGAAAATTAAGGACAGCGTAACCGCTGAGGGCGGAAACTATAGCAATGCATGGCTGTCAATCAACCCCCTTGGCCCAGCCCTATGCAGTGTGACGTCACACTGCATGAGAATCAAAACGGCAGGCCTAGTGCGACTGACTTGGTTTAATGGGGATTAAAAAATGAGGAATGGGTGGATTTTTATCATTGGTGGTTGTGTTCACACACTGCCAACACACATTTATTTCCAAACACCATGTAAAAGTGGATTTTGCATAATAGGTGCCCTTTAACAGACGAACTATGCTCATATTTATAATTCCAAGCATTCAGTAAGCGACAGGTGCTTGGAAACGATTCGGCTGCGGTACGGCCAACTGAATGTGCTGCTTCTCGGCCACTCACTGCACAGGACAGTCGCCGAGAGAGGAGATACTGCACCGGGAGAGTCAGACCTCGTGCTCGCGGGGCAGCACTGGTGACATATTCCAACTGAACAATAGCTAAGTTTTATCCAAAAAAGTTGCTAGGTTTGTCAGTATGTATATTCTATGGGAAAAAAGCCGCTAAAAGGGTCTGAAAGTTGCTAATTATAGTGCTGAAGTCGCGCTTGTGTGTGTGAGATGCGGGAGCTGGGGGCGGTGGATATTTGTGGCGGTCAATGTGGATATTGTGGACGAGTTCTTCTGTGACATCACGTCTATTAGTTCTACATCTTCAGTTTCGGAACTTTCACGCTTAGTAACACATACAGCTGTTCCCTCACCACAGTGCAACGGTGAAAAGAGACCCCTCTCAAACAGTGTTGCGTTCCGAACGTTGATTAAAAGATATAAAAGTATTGCGATATTTTAAAAACTCATATCATAACAAAAACAAACACCGGTATTCGGTATGAACCGGTATACTGCCCAGCACTAATATATATATATATATATATATATACAGTATATATTTATAATTTACCTTATAATTTATTATCAAAATGCCAACTCAATTTTTTGTGTTAATGTCAGACTTCTTGCCGGGAACATATGCCAAACTTCTCCAATCATTTTCTTAGCTTAAA